GTGGTTGTATATAAAAAACTGGTCGTGAACTCGTGGTTCACAACGACGCAGTTCAAGAAGAAAAGATTTTGGTACAAAAAGCGTGGATCGAAATACGAGTTCAAGAAATTTTTTTTTTTAATAAAATCCGTGGTTTAGAACCACAAGTTTAAAGAAATTTTTTTTTGATAAATCACGTTTGTAACCGCGATTTTTCTTAATCAAAATCGCTTTTCGTAACCACGATTTAGTTTACCACTTTCATGCGAAACGGGAAAAAATTGTTGAACTCCGCGATATGACCACGAGTTAGCTTTTCTGGGAATTCTTTCAAAAACTAGGGCTTCGTTTTGGAATTCTGCTACTATTTTAGCTATTCTTATGGAATGGGCTCCTATTCCTGGTGGTGAATAGATGTATCTTTTGAGGAAATGGTATGTTGTTGGGGCTTTTTCATTAAGCAAATTACTATCTTATTTTCGCAAACTAGCTTAGTTTGAACAGAATTTCCAACTAGGTTAAGCGCTATTAAAAATCAGCTTTCACTGTTTGAGCTGAAAATTTGATGAATGTGAAAGTATTACAAACCAGCTTAATTAAAAAGCGCGGTTAAATCCAACCTTTTAAGATAAGTTTGTTTTTGAAAAAAACGTGATTCAACACGCTTTCAAGCATATATTTTTTAAAAACGTGATTTCAAAACACGCTTTCATGTGTTGTGAAGGAAACGTGGTAGAAACCACGCTTTCAACACTGTCCCAAACACAAAAACTACACTCACAACTCTACTCTCTCTCTCTCTCTCTTCTCTACACAATACAAAAAACACAAACAGACTTACACCACGACTCACCGTCACACTCAATTATATATAATATATAATTTATATATATTTATAATTTAATATATATAAAATTTATTTCATAAAAGAAAATAATATTAAATATATATAATAATTTATAAACAAATAATAATCACTATATAAAATGATTATTTTTTATTTTAATTCTTAATTTTTTTTTTTTACTGTTTAGGGATAAAATTTATTTTTTTTTATTTTAGGGGTTTAAGTTTAATTCTTAAAATTTTATTTTTTTATTTTAGGGTTAAGGATTTATAAAAAAATAAATTAAATTTTAAGAATAAACTATAAATTCTAAACTCTAAATCCTAAACCGCTAAAATAAAAATAATTAAATTTTAAGAATTAACCCTAAAACCCTAAAATAAAAAAAAAATAAATAAATATTATCCCTAAGACACAAGGTAGCGTTTGGTAACATTTACGTTTTTGGTTTATGTTTATAAAAATTTTATAAACATGGTTTCTGTTTATTTAGAAAAACATAAAATTACAAACGGTTTGGTTTGAACAAAAATGTATTTAAAAAAAAAATTTAAAACATAAACTAAAAATATGTTTGTTCAAGCTTAATATTTTATATTTATATGTGTTATTTATGACAATGGGATCACACATATTATAATTGAAAAAAAATTAATTAAAAAAATATTTGAAAAAATTTAATTGGAAAAATTGTGGTTTTGTAAAAATTATTGAATTTTTTTTTAGGAAAATATTGTTGGTTTTAAAATTGTTGTACACATTTATAAATTTGAGGAAAAAAACGTAATCTCAAAATGAGTTTACGTTTCAGTTTTCAATTTTTTTTTCATTAAATTTTTTTGAATTATTTTTTTATTAATTTTTTTATCAATTATTATAACGTGATCCATTTGTCATAAATAATAATATAAACAACTTTTCCTTTTTCAATAATTTTACAAACCAATTTTTCCAATTAAATTTTTTTCAAATATTTTTTTAATTAATTTTTTTTCACTTATAATATGTGTGATCCCATTGTCATAAATAATAAATATAAATATAAATATTTTAGGTTTGAACAAACATATTTTTTTGTTTATGTTTAAATTTTTTTTTTAAACATTTTGTTCAAACCAAACGTTTGTAATTTAGTTTTTCTAAAATAACAGAAACCAGTTTATAAAATTTTTATAAACATAAACCAAAAACGTAAATGTTACCAACGCTTACCTGTGTTCAGGGATAAATTTATTTATTTTTTTATTTTAGGGTTTAGGGTTTAATTCTTAAATTTTATTTATTTTTATTTTAGGGTTTAGGATTTAGAGTTTAATGAATTCTAAGAGTTTAATTCTTAAAATTATTATTTTATATATTCTAAATCCTACAAAAAAAAAAATTTAAGATACCTAAACCCTAAAATAAAAAAATGAAATTTTAAGAATTAAACTCCTAAATCCTAAACTCTAAACCCTAAATCCCAAACCCAAAACTCAAAACTTGAAACCCAAAACCCAAAACCCTAAAATCCTAAAACCTTAAATCCTAATACTTAAAACCCTAAACTCGAAATCCTAAATCCTAAAAAACCCTAAATCCAAAATTCTAAATCCTAAACCCTAAATCCTAAGTCCTAAACTATAAATCCTTCGCCCTAAACACCCTAAATTAAACCCTAAACCCCCTAATAAAAAAAAATAAATTTTATCCCTAAACAGTAAAATAAAAAAAATTAAGAATTAAAATAAAAAAGTAATCATTTTATATAGTTGATTATTATTTGTTATTATAAATTATTGTATATATTTAATATTGATTTCAATTTTATGAAATAAAATTTATATATATATTAAATTATAAATATATATTAAAATTTATATATATATTGAGTGTGAGTGTGAGCGTGAGTGAGTCGTGTTTGTGTTTGTTTGTATTTGTGTCAGAGAGAGAGAGAGTTTGTGAGTGTAGTATTTGTGTGTTTGGGGCAGTGTTGAAAGCGTGGTTTCTAACCACGCTTTCTTCACAACACAGTGAAAGCGCGGTTTGAAATCACGTTTTATTTAAAAAATATATGCATAGTGAAAGCGTAGTTTGAAATCACGTTTTTTTCAAAAAACAAACTTACCTTAAAAGCGTGGTTTGTAACCACGTTTTCTTAATTAAAAGTGTGGTTTGTAATAACGCTTTCACTATTCATCAAATTTTCAGCTCCAAACAATGAAAGCGTGATTTGTAATAGCGCTTTAGCCTAGTTTAGAAATTGCGTCCAAACTAAGTTTAGTTTGGAAAATAAGTTACTAATTTAGCTTAATTTGAAAAAAGCCCCCAACATACATACCCATTTCCTCAAAAGATACATCTATCACCACCAGGAATAGGGCCATTTCCATAAATAAGCTAAAATAGTACAGGAATTCCAAAACTAAGCCTAGTTTTGAAAGAATTCCCAGAATAAGCTAACTCGTGGTTCATAATCGCGAGTTCAACAAATTTTTTCCCGTTTCGCATGAAAGTTGGTAAATCTTAAATTCGTGGTTACGAAAAGCGATTTTGATTAAGAAATCGCGGTTACAAAACGTGATTTTATCAAAAAAAAAATTTCTTTTAAACTTGTGGTTCTAAACCACGATTTTATAAAAAAAAAAATTTCTTGAACTCGTTATTTCGATCCACGCTTTTTGACCAAAATCTTTTCTTCTGAACTCGTCGTTGTGAACCACGAGTTCACGACCAGTTTTATATCACAAACCACGCACTCACTCACTCACAGCCACACCACACACTCTCTCTTCCTCTCTCTGACACATCACTTACACACACATCACACTCACATCAAAATAAAAATAAATAAATTTTAAGAAATAAATAAATATAAATAAATAAATAATGTTTAAAAATAAATAAATTTTAAGAATTAAACCCTAAGCCCTAAGATACAAAAAAATAAATTTTATCTTAAACACTAAAGTAGCGTTTGATAACGTTTACATTTTCGATTTATATTTACAAAAATTTTATAAATTGATTTTTGTTTACTTTTAGAAAAACATAAGTTACAAATGCGTTTGGTTTGAACAAAATATTTTAAAAAATTTAAAAACATAAACTAAAATATATATTTGTTCAAGTTTAAAATATTTATATTTATATTTATTATTTATGACAATGGGATCACACATATTATAATTGAAAAAAAATTAATTAAAAAAACAATTGAAAAAAATTTATTTGGAAAAAAATAATATATTTTTCCAATAATATATTTATTTATTTATATTTATTTAATTCTTAAAATTTATTTATTTTTATTTTGATGTAAGTGTGATGTGTGTGTGAGTGATGTGTCAGAGAGAGGGAGAGAGAGTGTGTGGTGTGGCTGTGAGTGAGAGAGTGTGTGGTGTGGCTGTGAGTGAGTGAGTGCGTGGTTTGTGATATAAACTGGTCGTGAACTCGTGGTTCACAACCACAAGTTCAGAAGAAAAGATTTTGATCAAAAAACGTGGATCGAAATAGCGAGTTCAAGAATTTTTTTTTTTGATAAAATCGTGGTTTAGAACCACGAGTTTAAAAGAAATTTTTTTTTGAATAAAATCGCGTTTTGTAACCGCGATTTCTTAATCAAAATCGTTTTTCGTAACCACGAATTTAAGATTTACTAATTTTCACGCGAAACGGGAAAAAATTTGTTGAACTCGCGATTGTGAACCGCGAGTTAGCTTATTCTGGGAATTCTTTTAAAACTAGACTTAGTTTGGGAATTCCTGTACTATTTTAGCTTATTTATGGAAATGGCCCCAGGAATACCCTAATAAACTAAGGGTCGTTTCGCAACATTGAAAAATAATTTAAAAGTTAAAAAATTATTAAAAAAGTAAAAAAAACAATAAATATTAAAAAATCAAATATTTATTTTCACTCACATTATTTTTCACACATTTTTTTTTATAAAAAAATAATTTATTCCAAAGATATATAATTTATTTCATCTCATATGTTGACCAAAAAACTAAAAAGCCACTAACAAGATCTTTCTCCAAACAACCTCTAAAGTAACAGCACCTAGTTCATCCATTCGACAAGAGTAGAGTGCAGGCTAGCTACATTTATATTTTTCTTTTACCGTAGTTTTTTTTTTACCATTGGAATCATTAAAATGTATTTTTAAATCACTCCGCCAAAAGAAAGATATATATAGTCAGCTGAACGAACCCCACTAACATGATGATGTCATGTTATGGGTTGTTTTATGTAATTGAATTACAAGCATCATTCATGGACCTCACTGATTTTCAAATCACAACTAATAATAAATTGATCACGACGACCATGAATAACAGATGAAAAACAAAAAAAAACTAACAAAGAATAATAGAACAAAAGACTCAAAAGACAGAAAAACCAACTGGATTATCTAATCATCAATCTCAATAAAAGCAGAACATGGTGGTGGAAACAAATAAAGCACATAAATCTCTTCCCACTGCAAATTTTGTTTCTGTCAATAGTCCCCAAAACACAGCAGAACACAAGGGCCACCCTATAAAGAAATTTAAAATAAAAATAAATTATTAGTATATAACCTTTGAGATGTGATGAAATTTGAATTATATGTGTAACAAAATATATTATTCATATGTTTGAGCTAATAATATATTATTATATTTATAGGTGTAACAAAAAGGAGTATGCTTGCACTTGCATTTGGTACCCATATATCAGAGCATTTTCAAACTTTCAAGGCAGCCTTGTGAACCATAGTTTCCTTGTGGATTTGGTGACAGCTCTTCTCCACAAGGTCAAGCAACTTCTCCAAGTTGATGGCCCATGAATTCAAACGGTCATTGCTGTCCTTCGCTGTCTGGAAGCAAACTAACCCCATTGCCCGGTCAATCTTTGCTACCAATGCTTTTGAGACAACCATATCTGAAAGATGCTTTTCAGCTTCCTGAGATACAGACACAGCAGGAACAATATTTAACGCTTCATACAAGAGATGGGGATTGAGATAATTATATGCGACTTCAATAACACCATCACCCAAGCAAAGACATGAACAGAAGAATCATCATACAGTTGGGGAAAGTATTGCAGCAAATGAACTTCAAAAGCATTATGCAGTAATCCAATGAACGGCAATTTCATTTAAAGAAGCTCGGTAAGTCGATTGAAATCAGTGTGCTACCTTGGGTTTTGTTGTGTAACTTGTGTTGTATTGTCTTGAAGAACCACAAATTGTTCTATACATAATTTTGCCGACCAAGAGCTTCTTGAGAGGCTGGGAAGGCATAGAATAATTGTGGCCGCTGTTTAGTGCAGCACATTGTTATCAAACAAGTAGGTCAGACATTTCAGAGATTTGGGAAGGCAGCATATAGCTTATTTTGGGTTTTGCGCATTGTGTACAAGAAATAGGTCCAATGTATTTCGGCTTTAGCTATTTGGTTGTATATTGCATTTGTGTTTTGGTTGGATGTATACTATAGCGACCCCAGTTTTTCCTTCCTTTGTATACTGTATTCTGGACTTGGTTCCGTGGACTTGTTTTTGTATCATTATCACTTCTAGCCTTTACTCTTTGTATTAGGGTCTTAGGTTGTGACGGGCAAGTTTGGAACAGGTTGGTTGCACTTTGAAACCAAAAGGTGATGCCCAGATTTTGGCCTTCACGCTCGAGCGGAAGTTTTAACGCTCGAGCGGGCTCTTCGTTGTTGCTTATACGCTTGAGCGGGAGTTTTGACGCTCGAGCGTGTTTTTCCATCTCCCAGTACTTTACTCTGCAGTTACTCCGCTCGAGCGGAGAGTTTAGCGATCGAGCGGGTACCATCGCCTGCAAAACTTCTGGAAGTGTGCAATCGATGCTCGAGCGGCTCTTTTCACGCTCAAGCGTGAGTCTGTGTCTGACGCTCGAGCGGGGATTTTCACGCTCGAGCGAGGAGTCGACTACATCAGTCCGAGATTTCACTTTTTGGATCACTTTTTGACCTACTTTTCTTTCTTAACTTTTAGAAAACCGCCCCTTGAGAGTCTCTCTCTCTTTCTCTCTCTCTAAACCTGCCTTCTCTCTAAGAATTGATCTACCTAGGGTGAGTATCTAACCTTGGTCCTTTATTAAAAAGATAGAGTGAGTCAAGGGCTTTCATTCAATCTGAACGTTTGGTGGTTTGGAGCACTTTGGAATTTGGGTATTCATCTTCGTCTTCTCCATTCGGGTTATTTTCTTCGAGGTAGGGATTTCCTACTCCATCCTATAAGTTTGTTCTAAGTTTTGGTATTTTGATATGTTGGGAGTACTTTGGTAATTTTGGGAAAAACCCTAGTTGTATTAATAAATTAATTTGTATAATTAATTTAAGGAAATTGGGGAAATTGGTTAAATGCATGAAATTGAGGAATTCATTGATTAAATGGTGTAGTTGGATAATTAAAATCACTCGCCTATTGAATTGTTGATATATTTATTTCCAGTCTAGAAATAACTGTTTTGGGCTATCGGTGGAGGATAGTCGTGTTTGTTGTAGACATTGCATGTGGATTAGGGAAAATTGAAACTAATCAATTTGTTTAAGTCATAAATTTAGACTATTGAATTAATACAGAAAATACATGTATTGATTGAGCATTGCATATGCATATTGTTTGGGAGGAGATAGGGGATGTACTCCACCGTTTAGGGGAAGACAGGGGATGGACCTCTAAACCGGATTTTTGTTTGGGAGGAGATAGGGGATGGACTCCATTAGCATCACTATTATGTGTGCTTATTATATTGAAGTGTTTTTACATGTTATTGATACAGCACTAAAATGTGTATCAAATGAGAAGTACGAAGTGTTTTGATATGAGCCTGAGTCTCATCTGTGTTGTTGATATTGGAAGTTATGTGAATGTGATATATAGTTCACTGTTGTAAGTTTGGCCAGGTTCTGAGCCATATTGATAATAATGGGAATTGAAACATGTCATAGACATTAGTGTCATGAGACAGTATCAAGTTATAATTGATTATCTTGGTTAACCATCTATTGAATGCTATAGATTTATCCGATGCTTATATTTGGTTTAGTATTTTTCTACTGGGCTGTGGCTCACCCTTTATGGGAACATCATTTTCAGGTTCAGGTGATAAGCTACCTCCAAGGACTTAGCTTGGAAGGAATTGGAGTTGAAGACTCTGTTTAGTTTAGTTGTTATTTATTTATTTGATATTACATGTAAACATTCAATCCTAGGGCTTTATTTGTATTTGAATTAGAACTCATATTCTGTGTCCAAGTGTTGGCTTGGAAAGATGTTAGCCCGTAGGACATTTAATTTGATGTTACATGTAACGCTTTTATTTAATAATACTCTAATGAATGAATTAATAAATTATTTTCTTTAAATATTACATGTCAATGAAATATATATATAATGGGTTAATTTTTAAGGCGCTACATATACTATTAACTTGTGGTATTCTGTTGAGGGTGTTCTTCCATCAACTACCTTTACTCTTATGATGTAATGCCTGCTGTATGCCTCTAGTAAATTTGTATTTTTCCTTTTCTTTTTCTTAAAAATGCCTACTTACCCAAAAAAACCATTGTGTACAAGAAATAGGTCCAATGTATTTCGGCTTTAGCTGTTTGGTTGTATATTGCATTTGTGTTTTGGTTGGATGTATACTGTTAACTTGTGGTATTCTGTTGAGGGTGTTCTTCCATCAACTACCTTTACTCTTATGATGTAATGCCTGCTGTATGCCTCTAGTAAATTTGTATTTTTCCTTTTCTTTTTCTTAAAAATGCCTACTTACCCAAAAAAACAAAAAAATAAAAAATAAAAAATAAAAGAATAGGAATTGGTGGATACCTTTAATATTTATTGGGCAAAATCCACTTTACCCAAAGTCATTAACTTCGTGCCGGACAAAGTACTGTTTTGGATTTATCGCAAAAATATTATATATGTATTATAAATATTGTTTTGGAGCAAATAATTTAAAAATATAATATATTTAAGCATATAATTTAAACATCCAAAGTTGTATTGTTTTGTTGGCTTAGGACAACAAAGTATATTATATAATATATAAACATATAAAATAAAACAAAAAAATCATAAATTCACTTTGCTTGGGTACTGTTCAATTCTGCCGGTATTTACAAAATTGGCTGGAACTCACAGAGAAATTAACTAGAACGGTATTGGCTTATTTGTATTATGTTTTCTCTCTGGTATGGTACGTACCGGCAGATATAGTACAGGATTGACAACTATGACTCCCTTAGGGTTTGGCCCAAGAGCACTTTAACCCCTTGTCTTTCAAAAGAAGCCAAAAAGGCCCCACGCTATTTTGGATTAAAATGCAACACTAACTTCGTTAACGGAAGATGCAAAATGACAAAAGCAACCCTCTACTGTTTTCTCTCTCTTCAGTTATACATAACTTTTTCTTTTTATCCTAATTACATACTAACTAATTAAATCACATATTAATCCAATTTCCAAATACTCTTAATTTCATAACTTAATTTCTAATGTTTAACTCAGTTTATAATCTAAGGCCTCGTTTGGCAACCTTCCCTTTTAGCCAAAAATTCAAAAAGTTACTAAATTAGCCAAAAAGCCAACAACCCATACCAAAAAGTCAAAGATTCTCTTTTCTCTCTACTTTTTGCACATCTTTTCGTAAAAAACCAAAAAGTCATCCCAAACATACTAGTTTTTTTTAGCTCATATTTTAGCCAAATAGCCAAAAAGTTACTAAATTAGCCTGTTCCCAAACGAGGCCTAATAATATATATATATCAAATCCAGATCCATATCCACCCATAACATCCAAATCAACGAAAAGAAAGCACCGAAATCTTCGATTACTTGGTTGATTATTTCATTGATTGATTATTTTTTTCCAATATTAAATGAATAAGGTTATGATCTTGATGATGATCCAAGACGAGAGTAACAGTGAAAACTATGGACAATCCTTCATAGAAAGTAAGAACAAGTTCAGTAGGTATCGTGAGGAGATGTTGGGTCACACCATTGGGTTCAAAATCTATGGAATTAACAATCCCTTCAAAGACACACAAAAAGGGTGTTTCCTTCGCCAGATGCAGATACATTAACAAAGCTCTAATAAATTGATTTCAATGGTGAACAGTGGAAAAGCCGTGTAAATAGATGGGTGGGGGCGGGTAAATTCTTCTTCCGAGAAGGTCTTTTTTGCCCCAGGTGCCATTTTCAACATTGAAGCTCTCTGAGCTTAAGCAAATCTTCCATGCGGCCATGGCAGTGACCACCCGAGCACATAGACCATGCTCTCATAGGCATTTAGTGAGTGTGAGAGGGTAACTAGGGTCAGACAAAGCAGTGTGTAGGCTTGGCAAAGGACTTGATATATTTCACCATCTCAATCTTGGGTTGCAACACTTGGTGTGGCAGTGGTGGGTGTATTAGGGTTAGGGTTTTTAAATGGGAAGAAGATGAAGAAAGGATAAATTTGTCTTTTCACCACGAAATTTGACTTTTAACTTGATTTTTTTTGCATACCAACCAAGTCTTAAAATCAGTGCGTGTTACACAAACTCTGTCAATTTTGATGGAATTAATAACAGTAGGGATGTAAAGTACAAAATGGTCAAAAGCACATGGTGGGTCCTTGGCAATTTTTGAACGACAATAGGGTAAAGTGCTCCACGATCAAAACACAAGGGTCTAAAATGGACTTTGCCCTTGTTTATTTATTTTTTTTAATAAAAAATTTTCATTAGCAAAAAATAACCATGAGAGAGTGAGAAAACAGAGCAAGTCAGAGAGTGAGATATGTGAGGCGGAGAGACCGTCTCTCTCGGTGTGTGAGCGAGGGAGACGGGTGAGTGGGTGAGTGAGGAGAGTGTGAGCTCCTCCTCTATTGTAATCTTTCTGTAATATTTCCATTGTTATAGTGATAACCGGCTACTCTCCCGTGGACGTAGGCATTGAGGCCGAACCACGTTAAATACAGATACATTAACAAAGCTCTAATAAATTGATTTCAATGGTGAACAGTGGAAAAGCCGTGTAAATAGATGGGTGGGGGCGGGTAAATTCTTCTTCCGAGAAGGTCTTTTTTGCCCCAGGTGCCATTTTCAACATTGAAGCTCTCTGAGCTTAAGCAAATCTTCCATGCGGCCATGCCAGTGACCACCCGAGCACATAGACCATACTCTCATAGGCATTTAGTGAGTGTGAGAGGGTAACTAGGGTCAGACAAAGCAGTGTGTAGGCTTGGCAAAGGACTTGATATATTTCACCATCTCAATCTTGGGTTGCAACACTTGGTGTGGCAGTGGTGGGTGTATTAGGGTTAGGGTTTTTAAATGGGAAGAAGATGAAGAAAGGATAAATTTGTCTTTTCACCACGAAATTTGACTTTTAACTTGATTTTTTTTGCATACCAACCAAGTCTTAAAATCAGTGCGTGTTACACAAACTCTGTCAATTTTGATGGAATTAATAACAGTAGGGATGTAAAGTACAAAATGGTCAAAAGCACATGGTGGGTCCTTGGCAATTTTTGAACGACAATAGGGTAAAGTGCTCCACGATCAAAACACAAGGGTCTAAAATGGACTTTGCCCTTGTTTATTTATTTTTTTTAATAAAAAATTTTCATTAGCAAAAAATAACCACCAAGAAGGATGCAAACCCTGTACATTTAAAAAGCCGCATCCTATGTACTATACATCCAGTGGCATGTACAAGTCACCTATAAACTGCACAAAAGAATCAATAGAAAAATGACACTCCTCTCTATCTCTCCAGAAAAAAAGAAAAAAAAAAAATTCACAGAAATGAGCATAGATCCTTTCAACTACTAATTAGATCTCCATTGCCTTTTATTCACATAATCCACATAACACACAGCGCACCGTCTGCCAAGCCTTCCTATATTTAACTTTCTAGGATGGCAAGAACTCAATACAACAAAGAGATCTCCCACTAAATATGGCATCACCCACATGTCAACCCGAAAATCACGCATATCAAATTCCACAGCCCACTGGCCACCAGACAATAAAAAAGATGATTCACAAATTCCCAGGTCTTCTTACACTTGCAACACCCGTCAATAATCACCTCGGGTCTCTTCCTAAGGTTGTCAATGGTGAAAATAACCTCCATGGCAGTTGTCCATGTAAAGAAAGCATCCCTAGGAGCCTTATTCCTCCAAATGTCCTTCCAAGCAGCAAAATTTGTCCCCCACCACAAAGGCCCTGGTAGACAAAACTAATCAAAAAGACTCCTCACCCCGAACACCTCCAACCCAAAAAATCCTGAACTATGCTGAATTCCAAAATCATAGAGCACACTAAAAAGGGCCTCCATGGATTGAAAAGTCCCCAATCCTCTAAAGCCCTCCAAAACCAAAGATTCAACAAACGTCCTACACTAGCTTTTTTATAGAAATGATAAGGAACATGACTTGAAATGGAAGACACAAGAATTTCCTAACTAATTGTTGTCGTGTTATCGTATGTGTAGAAGGAGGACAGCGTTATCATCTTCTACTAGTTTTCTACCTGTGACATGCACTTGTATGGTTGTGTTTGAATTTTTATTTTATATAAATATGATAAAAATAACTACACACGGTATTTATGAATGAGAAATTTTGAAAGTATGGTACATCATAAGGTAAAAGCATAAAAGTAAAATAAATAAATAGATAACTAAATTATCAAAAATGCCAAAGAATAAAAACTTATAAAATAAATTAAATAGAATTTATATTCTCAACTGAAATGGAAAAATAAAAAATTTGGATGAAAAACAGTACAAAACGTAGACAAATAGTTGAAGATAATCAGTATTCTATTAATATATCAAAACATTTTCTGCAGATCATTTTTAAATAAGATGTCAACCATAATTAAATCAAATTTGAAAACATTGTATTAGTAGGTGATCAAATTAAATGTTTTTCAAAATAATCATAGTATTGTATTTTGTAAATATATATATTGTGTGTTTAGAGAGTTTAACCTAACTCTAGTGATTGTGATAGATTTTTTAGTTTAAACTCAATTTAATATAAATTTGACATTTTTTCATGTTGGCAATTATTGTAATGCCCTATTATACTTTATCCCATACAACAATTTATGTATTTAAGTTAGCAACTTCTAGGGAACTTTTAAAAAACATACAAAAATATATATATTTAGAATGACCAAAAAAAATTATAAATAAGTGCATGCTTAGATTTTATATATGTAAAGTTTTTATGGCATAAAGGAAATCTTCTAAAAATAAGAGTAATTGAAATTAAAATTTCAAATGAAAGTTTCACACTTTTTTCCTCGTTTTTAGAAATAGCTTTCTAACACCAAAATATTTTTCCTTGAATAATTTTTTAGAGCATGACAATTTACTTATATATTATATGATTTTCATTGTGATGTAGCTAAGAAATTTTGGTGCCTATAACTCTTGATGTTCAGCATAGAGTTAGTAATGCTAGGTTCAGTTTCTTTGGAAGGTGTTTGTCTGGGTATGTGGTTCCTTTATGTTTGTGGTCAATTTGAGTAAACGGCACATTGGTTTTCTAAGTATGTGTTCCAGTTTTTATGTTGATTTATGACGTTAAGTGTGTCCCCATTTTTTGGTCCAAAGAATCATTTCCTCACTCCAATTCATTTGTATGGTTTTTGGTGCTTTATAGTGTCATGTAGATGAATGAGGATGTCATGGTAAGATTTGCATGCCTAGTATGGATATGCATAGCATCCCAGGTTTAGTATGCCCTCTAGAGCCTTGCTTTACCAATCAAAATGTCAAAGACAATGAATATCTTGGCAATCATGCCTCAAATCAATGTGTGCTTCATAGATCATTGAGAAACACCAGCGTCCATCATCAAGTAATGAGTCTAATGACTTGAAAGCAATCTTTTTCCCTCTCAAGCACAAATAATATGTTTTTGTGCTATTGTCTATTAAGAAGCATATAGACACTTCTACGAAGATGTGTGTCCCTGTTGTGTCTGTATCCGACACGTGTCCGAGACCAACACTCATCGGACACTTCACAACATGTGTTGAACACACGTCCAAATGTGTCAATATTTTTTTAATTTTTTAGACATAAACACACTTCGTACACTTGGGGGACACAAATGTCCATCACTTAAACACACATGAAACATATTATAAATTTGAACAAAATAACTTATAGGATACAATGATAAAAGAAAACCAATAAAGATTCATATATATGACATATAATAAATATATAAAACCATATATTTTGTGTCTTGCATTTTTTGAAAAATTAACGTGTCATTTGTCTACGTCCATGCTTCTTCAATTGTCTAAATTCTAAATATAGCTAGAGCACAACCTTTGGAATTTGTATAATCCATGAACCCATAATTCTGTTACGAAGCTTAACAAATTAGGTAACGGAAAACAAAAAATACAATTTTTTTTAATTAGACGTGTTGGATTGGAACTGATTTTTATCTATGCAATATGTATAGTTGTGTGGGTATATAAACAAGACAAATGAGAGCTCCAATACCCACAAAGAAACATATTCAAACAAAATTTCTAAGAAAATCAGAGCTGGGTGCTAAATGGGAAAGAGGGAGAAGGAAGTGGTGCTAGTGGTGTGAAGTAAATATGCAAAAGAGAACATCACGAACATTTGACAAACAAGAAAATATTCACTTGAGAAGTTAGTAATCAGTCCCCATCATATTCAATAGGCAAACAAGTAAATATGAAAATGAGTAACTTGTCATGATATAAATTCCCAAGAATAATTTTTCAAGTGGGAAGTTAGTAATAAATCCATCATATTTCATAGGAAAACAAGTAAATAGGCAAATGAGTACATCACAAACATTTGATGACGACTATACCACAATTAAGTATTGGCATACCTGAACAATGAGACAAAGCAGCTCAGCAAGTCTCCTCAAGGTAATCCTTGAGTAATACTTTGAGACAACAAGGATGTTCTGCAAGAAACGATGTCTTGTAAATGAACCATTGCAGCATCTAATTGAAATATATAATTGAACATGAGTGAAAGATTACATGTTCTATTACTCTCTGTCTCAAATCTTCAGCTGCTTTGTCACCTAAAGAACCACCAAGCATGTTCTTTTCATTCTCAAATTCATCCTTGAATGCATTCCACAAAGCCGTCCACTGAATCACCTCCATTGTAACCAGCTGTTTCAAAAGCAACCTATGACAGAACAGAAGGGCAAGCATCAAATAGTGTTAACAGAACAAAACTATGCTCACTTTTTGTTTTTGTTTTTGTTTTTTTGGTTTTTTGGGGTCATTTACTATTGGTTTCAGATTGGTTAGGACACACCTAAAATGAGGAATTTCTGAAAGATCTTTATACTCCAATGTGGAATTAAGAAGGCTTGACTGCATAGGATCATGCGGTGACAAAACTAAATACCAGCATATTTTCCGCAGGACCTGCATCAAATAATTGTTAGACAAGCTGAAAAACAGTGGAGAAAGCATATTTTTCTATTTTTTCCCCCTCCTTTACACAAAGAAAAAAAAAAAAAAAAAAAAAAAAAAAAAAAAAAAAAAAAACATAAGTTTAGTTTTGATACTGGTATCCACTGAGCAGGGTCTTCTTTGACAGAGGGAATCTCATATATTGCCTTGTAACAACGACATATTTCAAGGTAATCATTGTTGTGTGAGTAGTACCTACAGATATTGAAAGGCAACAAATTAAATTGACAAGTAACTGGAAAAAAGCAAAGAAGTATAAAGCTGTTCATATTCAAAGCTTTCATCTAAAACTCCTTTAACATGTCTATGTTGAGATGGTTGTCATAAATCATTTCTAGGCCAGTTCAAAAAACTACAAAGCGACCACCTCCCCTCCCCCCCCTTCCCTTCTTCTCAGCACGAGTTGGAAAATCAAAATTTTCAATTTAAGATATTTGACCAAACTTTCACCCATTGCAGAATTTTAACCAAATTTCCACAAAATTAAGTAAAACTTTCACCAAACCAAACCACACCACACCAAACTAAATTTTATGTCCAAATCGATAAGATCTATGAAGTATCGACACTCCAAAAGAAATACCGTATCACATGCAGACACAGCAGGCCCTTATTTAATTAATTTATTTTCAGGGTACACACCGGGAATACACTCGGCACATGCTAACTTGTCTTTTTCTCCCATTTTCTTTAGTGCCTATGATGAATGTTGGATGTTGAATGTTTAATATTTCTTTTCTTACATTTAAATACTTAATAGATCATCCATAAAAAAAATATATAAATTGTAAGTGTTAATTTAAAAGTGTTTTTTTTTTTAAATATAAAATTAGAGTTAGTTTTTGTTAATATTGATTGTTTGTGAATGTAATATTAATCTAGATAGCAAATAAAAATATATAAAAACATATTTCATTAGCGTATTATGCTGTGTCCGTGTCCCTATTTTTTTGAAAACACCATGTCCTGTGTCTGCATCTATATCCATACCCATGCTTCTTAGGGTGAGATCAGCTACATGAATCCTTTTCTCTCTATTCCGGCCTATCAAGGGCTATTTTCTCAGTTAAATTAGATAAAGAGAGATTTGGCCAGAGATCCCATTTTAGGGGCAATGTCATGGTCACAATTTTTTGTTGTGTTAATACATGACTGGGAAAAGACAGAAGGCATCTAGAAAACAAATTATGTCAAAATTTCAAAATAAACACAAAATTTCCAGTACTTTCCTCCAAAATGTCTGCATATTCCAACTTTCACTTTCCACTCTCTCTGATGAGGACAGGAAAGGATCATATGAGAACAAAATCAAGCATTTTTTGGGAATTTAGATTTTTGAAATTTTATCAATAGTAGAATATTAAATAGGATCTAAGTATTGGAATGTTTTATTTTTGGTGACTTTAAATTAAAGGTTTCTTGGATGTCTATAAATGGGCCATTATGTAGTAGTGTCATGTAGTTTCGAATATTGAATTGAGATACTGAGTATTGAGATTTTAGGGTTTATTTTCTTCTATTTTGGATGTGATTTTTTTTCTCACTTACATTATTTTTCTCTTTGTTGGCCATCTTACATCATTCCTGCTCTATAATTTCTTTAAGCTTTCTCAATATCTATCCAGTCTCCAAATCATATTCGCATCTATGCATTCCTTAGGCAAACACAAACAACACTTCTAGGTATGAGATTTTTGTATTTAAAAAAGATGATTCTTATTGACTACATACACTAGATGGAACAAAAGGTAATGTGATCTATGACATAAAGTTATGGGGGTGAAAATGTAGTGTACCATGCGAAAGAGAGAGAGACTTCTAGTTCATGTGACTTCACAGAAATAATGGAACAATAAAACAGCAGGGCAAAAAGTAGGGCACTCCCATACCGTATCATTAATTCATAGTAGATTTGCCTCAACTCCAACAATGATGGAATATCAGCTGGAGCCTCTTCCACAACATTATCACCTTCTTTAGGTTTTTTCTTTTCTTTTGAAGTATTTGCATCAAAAACTCTTGCACTAATTTTTCTAGAGAGGATTTGTGCACGCACATAATCCTGGCGGTCTAAACATAAACGAACCTGCAAAATTTAAATTTCATTGATCCACCATTATATTCCCACCAAAACCCGGCCATTAGACAAGGTTACAAAATATTTAAGGGGGAAAACAAAAAAAAACAAAAAGGAAAAGGAAGGAGCCCCATACTTGTTCAAGAATGAAAGCTATTTTTTCAGTTTTTGCCATTGCACCAAATGTTTCCACCTGTATATCAATGCCATCAAAAAGTGCCAATAATGGATAAAAACAGCACCTCAACAGGAATTTATTCAGGTACATCAGAGCAGAAATAAATCTAAGAATAAAAAACTCATCCCTCATCCCTCACTTACAGCAATTTCTTGCATTAAATCAGCAGCCTCAACTATCTGCCCTTGTTCTTCCTTAAGCTTTGCAAGTTTTTTGATCAATCGCGCTCTCTCTATCTCAACATATATCTACAACATAACAGGGCCAATTGAGAAACAGAAAACATGAAATATAAACTTCACAATGAGGACAATACAATACAAAATATCTTCAAATTCAGGAAAGCATGTTCACCTTTCCTGCAGATACACAGTTAAGTGTCTTAATAAGCTCTATCTTAGTTTCAAGATCAGGTGTCTCATCAATATATTGCATCGCTTGCTGGACCATTGCAGTTACAGCCTGTGTGAAAACAACGAGGCAAGTTTATGTTATAGAGGTTAACACCAAAACAATGTCCGCACTACTTTTTTATCATGAACAAAACGAAGGCAAATTACACCATTATTAACAGGATATACTTAGTTATTGAAGCAACCAAAGTTGTATAAAAAAGAATTAAAGCATGGAAAAGCTGGCTCCAAGATATTTCTTATCCCAAAAAGGAGAAAAATTAAAATGCCAAATTGAAAGACCAGGAAAGACCAAGGATTAACATTTTCAAACTAAAATAAATTTCACACAATTCCAAATTGAAACCATAGTGTGATTGTTCATGAGATAGATACACCTCATACGTATGTTCATTCATGATACACATAATTATGCAGTTACACATACAACAAGCGCTCGTGCTTGTGTCTGTCAGACACACTTCTCAGTGCATATAATTGAACAAAAATACAAACACAGGGTCCAAATATGGTACAAAACTAGTGGTATTCGGGTACCGTACATTCAAAAAATGTTAAGAATGATCACATTGTATGATAACTGGTAAGTAGGGTCGTTTCTGATGGTAAGTAGATCCTATATTTTTATCACAATGTGTGGTAACTTGGTAAGTTAATTCAGTTCTGGTGGTAAGTACGACCAAATTCAGTGGAAAGTAGAATCATGAAAACCACTTTGTTTTCTTTCAAAAAAAAAAAAACCACCTTATTTTTGGTATCCAACTTTACTAATTACCAAACAATTTCTGAATTTTTTCTTTATCCAAATTTAATGGTTAGAGTGGTTTTTAGGTATGTTACCCAAAAGCCACATTTTTTGTACTGTAGAAAAATCCTATGAACACAAGCTTGCATACATAATAGTACACATACACGAGTATGCCGCCCAATAAACATAGGGATGATTACATTTCAATGGGATTTGAAGAAATAAATTACATTTTTAGTAGAAAATCTATTTTAATTGCAATAGATGTGGGAAGAAGTAAAATAATTACACAGTGATGACATGAAATCTACCATTTGAATGGAACAAACTAACATCTTCTTCCTTCCTTTTCCAACAGCTAATGCTAACCACCCGTCCTCAGCCACCATTGCCGTGCCCTCCCCTACAAACCCCCATCCCTCCCCCACCCTTCACTGCCGCAATCCCTACCACCACCACCTGTCACTCTGTTAAAACCTACCATCACCTACTCCACCTACTACACCTACCACCACCTACTACCACCTACTACACACCTACCACTACCACCTACTACCACCTACTCCACTACATCTCCTTACTCCACCTACTACACTTACCACCACCTACTACCACCTACTACACACCTACCACTACCACCTACTACCACCTACTCCACTACATCTCCTATATAAGGAGCCCCTCACCATTTGTAATTAACAGTATACATCAATCAATAATACATCAATTTTAACATGGTATCAGAGTAAGGTTAAGAATTTAGTATTTTTTCGCGTCACCGGCGGGCAGCAGCCTCGCCTTGGCCGCCCGCCGGACCTCAACCTAGTCCGCTAGAATTTTGCTACACATACCTTCACTCTGCTTCACCACCTTTGCCTCGCTTCTAAAATAAAAGACGGCCACCGCCCACTGCAGCAACTCAAACCATTGCTAGCTCGAATTGAGCCAACACTACTCGCCATTGGTGTTTCATGATGCATTTTTTTCCAAAGCTCCAAACACACAGATATCGGTCTTCGTAGTATTTTCCGGTACTCCGTCTCACAATCTTATCTGCCGATCTACCCATTCCACGCGAGCACCAAACCTGGATCTATCACAATTTTTAGTTGCCCCTGGCTAGCGACGACCACGCCGCCCAATCAACGCGGCGTTGGTCTGCCCAGATCATTTCTCACCCATTGTTCGTGCGGGCGATACGTGCTGCCAACCTAGCTTAGCTGTCCTGATTTCCCAGTCAAAGCTCTTGTCCTCATACAGCTCTCATCAGTGCTTCTACTGAGCACTATGTATGGTGATGTGGTTGATTTGGTGAGCTGGGCACAGCCACCACACCACCAAAAGTGAGACTGGTACTTCTCTGGCTCATCTTCCATCAGAGTCGCCATGTATGCAGAAACATGGCCTCCATAGATGTATTTGCGGTGAACCTCAGCATCAAGTTTCTTACTGTCTTTACTGAAACCAGCAAACCTCTTGTCACTGTGAGGAATATCAAGCCCACCATCTAAGGCTCCCTTGAGAGCACCAAAAACACGATTTCCAGTGGTCGTTCGTAGAAGGCCAACATCTAGGAGAGCACGGAAAGGCCTTCTGCTCTCTGCTGGTTCAACAGAGTAATCCTCTCCGGTTGCCTCAACATTTCCCTGATACTCATGTAACCATCTCTCTCTCTCTATATTTCTGCTTTTTGGTGAGACCAAACCCACGGTATCTCTCTCTCAAACAAAAAAGTCCAATTTACACACGCTGTTCTCTCTCTCTTTTTTTCACTTTCCAACCCATGTGCATTTTTTTTTTATTCTACTTTTTGCCAGGTTAATGGATTGAAACTACCAACCCATGTGCACCTTTTTTTCTCTCTTTCATTCTACTTTTTGACCCATCATTCTACTTCTAAATTATCCTTTTTTTGACCCATCATTCCTACTTCTAAATTATCTTTTTTTGTAACCACCGCCCACTCCATGATACCCATTTTTATTATTATTATTATTATTTATTTTTATTTCAAAAAAAAAAAAATCATACGCACTCACAAACTATTGCGTAGCACGTGGGTACTACACCTCCATAGATACACAGACCACCATTGTATTTTGAAAACCATGGGCTCCTGCCAAACCAACATCTTTCCATTACAACAAAATAAAAAAATAAAAAATAAAATTTTTTTTTCAAATTTGCACACCAAACCATATTTTATTCATCTCAGGGATCAACCCCGATCACAATTTTACAAAAAAAAAAAAAACAAAACAAAAACAAACAACACATCCACAGGCGGGATTTTTTCTTATCTACTCTGCCGCCGGTCTCTTCTTCTTGCCTCCGTCCTGCGCGGCCCTTGACGGTGTTGCCTCCGTGTCTAGACCACCAAGCAAGTTGCCTCCTCCCTGCTCCTCCACTACAGCATACGGTGGACCTCCAAATCGGAACATCACGGTGGCCTTCCCGCTTCAGCTCCTTTTTCCGCCTTTAGCACACTTATCTCTGCTCGCGCATCCTTATACATGCGTTGGAACAGAGCCAGCTGGGCGTTTAACGCTGCACCTCATTTTTCCTACTCTGCAGCCGGTGCGACAGGTTGTGTACTGCCGTCATGGTCTCCACACATGACTTCAAAGTATACTGATTGGCCTCAATATCAGTTTGCACCGCCATTTTTTGCTCCACCGACCGCATCGGAAAGTTCAACGGACCAAAACCAGAGGCGCTTGGTTGAGGTTCACTGGCCACCGCACCAGTTATCTCTCTTGTTGACTCGTTGAGGTCGGGAAAGAGAGTGAGCAGACCACGGGACGAAGAGGCCATATTCTGGGTAGCTGAACGGGAGACGAGGCCATGTTATGGGTTGCTGAGTGTTTCAGAGAAGGGTTGGTTACAGAGTGTTTACAGAGTGTTTCAAGATTTGCAAGCTCTTAGCGACAACTCTCAGAGAACGAAGAGGTTTCAACTGGTTTGTTATGCTTCCAGCCTCAGCCTCCGCTTCGGTTTATAAAGACCATGATGAAGAGGCAGACACGCGCATCATGCGCCTTTCGGTGCTCGCCGACAACTTGGGCGCGCCTTTTGATGGCACGTCTTTGATGGCACGCCTTTTGAAAATTGGGCACACTTTTTGAGGGTGCGACTTTCAAGGGTCTGACAAGGCTCTGTAAACTGTCCCGACATTAATTCCGGTTAGCTCCTTCATGGGTCCGACAAGACTCAGTAAACTATCCCGACATTGATTCCGGTTAGCTCCTTCATGGGTCCGACAGACTCTGTAAACTGTTTCCGACATTGATTCCGGTTAGTCCTTCATGGGTCCGACAAGACTCAGTAAACTGTCCCGACATTGATTCCGGTATAGCTCCTTCATGGGTTCCCACAAGCTCTTTGTAAACTGTCCGACATTGATTCCGGTTAGTTTCTTCAAGGGTCCAGCAAGACTCCGTAAACTGTCACAACAACTGTCACAACATTGTCTGCTACAACGGTCCGACATGACCCCATAAACTGTCTTCTACATCGGTCTGACACGAGCCAGTGTCTTCTACATCGGTCTGCCATAACCATACAGTCTTCTACAACGGTCTGACACGACCATACAGTGTCTCCTATCCATTTTTTATTTTTCAGATTATTTTCTTGTTTTGTTACTCTCTCCAAACTCAAGTTGGTTAGTTCCTATCCCCCTTGAGTTTGCGGGGGGCTGTTAAAACCTACCATCACCTACTCCACCTACTACACCTACCACCACCTACTACCACCTACTACACACCTACCACTACCACCTACTCCACTACATCTCCTTACTCCACCTACTACACCTACCACCACCTACTACCACCTACTACACACTTACAACTACCACCTACTACCACCTACTCCACTACATCTCCTATATAAGGAGCCCCTCACCATTTGTAATTAACAGTATACATCAATCAATAATACATCAATTTTAACACACTCCTTCACCACTCCCAACCTTTCTCCTCCCCAACCAACAACCCCTTCCCCCATTCCCTAGCCACGCCTAACCGTCCTAAACCCTCCTTCTCACAACCCCTGACCCCTGTTGTTGAACGGTGCATGGGTGCAAGTGTTAACCAGGCGCGGTGCAAGTGACAAGTGTGAGCCAGTGTTATTAAAGGCAATAAGCACACTAAAGCGCCAAGGTTTCCTGGGGTCTAGGTGCAAGGCGAGGCGCAAGCTTCATCAAAGCAAGGCTCATGTTACCAAACCAAGCCAAACCAAACCAAGCCTTAAGTCCCATCAAATGGGGTTGCCTACATGAATCCTTCTTCTCCATGCGGCTCTATCAAAGGATATTTCGTTAGTCAAATTAGGTAGATTCATATCTCTATTTACAACGCTAGCCAACGTTAATCTAAGCCTACCCAATCCCCTAATACTTTCATCTACCGTCACTGCATCGCATCTCTTCACTACCGTCTCTATTGGTCTCCGTTGAATATGACCAAACCATTTCAATCGATTCTCTCTCAGCTTAGCTCCTATCAGTGTTACTCCTACCCATTCCCGAATATACTCATTCCTAATTTTGTCTTGTCTAGTCTTGCCACACATCCATCTTAGCATCCTTATCTCAGTAACACTCATCTTATCTACATGTTATTTCTTGGTTGCCCAACACTCCATCTCATACAACATCTCTGATCTAATAGTCGTTCTATAGAACTTACCTTTTAGTCTAGTGGATATTCGTTTATCGCATAGTACCCCAGACGCACTTCTCCAATTAAGCTATCCCACCTTAATCTTATGGGCCACATCCGCATCAATCTCCCCCGTCGTTGTGATAATCGACCCTAAATAACGAGACTTATGTTGACGATAAAAAATAGAAAATTTAATATAAGCAAATAATTCAAGGTCCAACACAAGTAAATTTAAATATTAAATATTTTAAAACATAAATACTAACAAATACCAATATTTTACCATAGACAAATAATTCAAGGTTCACATAAAACACAAACATCTAACTTACAAATCATAAACATTTGAAAATCACGAAGAAATCCACATGTCAAACCAAATAAGCATAAAAAAAGAGAAAAAGATTGAGGAGATGAAGAAGAAGAAGATCAACAATTGTTAGTCTAGTAGAAAAGAAAGCTCTATCCAATCAATGTCTTTGTATAATTACGGCTCAAAAAAGTGTTAAGTTGCAATGTATGTTTAGGAATTTAATCCCCTATAACTGCATGTAAACAAAAAAATAATGAAATTAAGTACAATCAAGGGTTGTATTTGTGATAAACAAACATTTTAAAAGCGAACAAGACATGCGCCTTGAGCCTAAGCCTAAAGCGCAGCCTTCATGCAGCTTTATGGGGCCTATCGCCTAGCCTGAGATGTTCCGGTGCGCACTAACTGCACCTTGGGCCTAGGCGCCCCTTTAATAACACTAAGTGTGACAACCCATACAATTTGCATTTGCACATATTGCACTTGCATGAAGTAGAAGTGCCATTTGCATCAAACATGTTTCGCATCAACGGCATAAGATGTGTGGGGTCTGGTGGGTTTTTTTGGGAGCTACATTGGCTAAGGTTTGGGGGCGGGGCCTGTTTGGGAGAGAAGACAAGGGGCAAGAATGGCAGAGGAGGGGAGGGGGGTTGGTGAGGTTGGCATGGACATACCGATCGCCAAATAGAGTTACAAAGTGAAAAGGAGGAGATGTGAAGGGTAGTTTGGTCAATTCATAAGGTAGATTTTACCCCTTTGTTATCCTTCTTGCCACATCTATCTATTGCAATTAAAATAATAGATTCGCACTAAAATGTAATTGACTCCCTAAATCCCACTGACATGTAATTACCCAAACACATATGCGTGGATGCCAGTGATTCATCCTAGTGCACACGTGTAGGTGGTATCCAATCTTAGTTTTTTTACACAATTAAGATACAATTTACTCCCAACACAAAAAATAATGAGTACACATTTTTTATAGCAAGTATCTTCAGCACAACTATATTACTTCTTACAATTTATTTTAGTACACAAATTCAGTTTGTTATATCTCCAATACACCAACAACAGCCCCAGATAACTTTTCTTTATTTCCTTTTTGTGGTAACTGACAACTCATTACACCAAAATATACAAATATTATGTATTTTCACTAGATTAGTGCAGAACAAATGCAACAATAAAATATATATATATATATATATATTTAAATCTCTTCTTGAAAAGATGGTGATATAAACTAAAGTTATGATCTCTCTCCATACCTGCTTCAACTGACCACGGCGCTTCGATAACAAGGTAATTTGGTCATTGAGGGTCTTCCATGCACGAGCTTCGAAGCAAAGCTGCAAAATATCGGTGACGGCCTTCTTGGTGCCGGCAACATCGCCTGCTAGTCTCATCTGCTTCTCCACATTCAAAAGCGACTCTATCTTCGCATCCAAATCGCCTCCAACTTCCTGAACCGCAAATCAATTGCAAAGAATAAAAAAAGGAGCTTGAGCATCCGGAAAGCATAATCGAAGAACAAAGCTTGAAATCTGGAAACAAGAAAAAACAAAAATTGAAGAGATTGAATTGAAATTACCATCTTGAATTCGAATGCGTGATAGGAATTGAGAAGTCAATGAACTAGCTTTCAAAGAGGGAAACAGCGAGTTTTGAATCTGAACCCCAAGAGAGACACAGTGCGGAGTTTTAAATGGTGTCCATGGCTTGTCGTAGGCGACAAGTATACTCTATGCTAGTAAGCCAGTCTAATTTGTTATTCCACACAGACTGGGGTGTGAAACAAAAGACAAAACTTTGGCAAATTACACTGGGGTGTTTGGCAGATGCTGTTTTTTAGTTTTTTTTTATGATAAAATTTATAAATAAAATAAAATAGGTTAAAATAGTTAATATGATAAAATATTATATCAAATTCTTAATTATTTTACTTTTTCTTTTACAAATATCACATTTAACTACAAAAAAATTAAGGGAGCTTCTATTTCCACACACCACTTCCTCTCATTCCACACACTTAATAATATTTTTTTTATTACATTTTTTTCCTAAAATAAAATTACCAAAATACGCCATTCTTCTTCAATCAAAACCCTAACATTAATTTTCCCTCTCGACTCAAACCCTAACCCTAAAATTACTACCACTCTTCATCGCCGCCGTTGCCGTTGCCGTTGCCATTGCCTTTGTCGCTGCCGCCATCTCTCCCCTTATCTGTTGTTTCTTGTCGTCTCTTCTTCCACTATCACGACCCATTTCACCTGCAAATCTAAGAACACGATCGGCGTAACCCCCATTTTCCTTCGCTTCACCCTTCTGTCGTCGCTGTTATCGCCTCTACCCCTTTGCGACTATCGTCGCTGCTGCAACCGCCCATTACCAGCCTTCTCTACCTCATAATTTTCTTCTTCTTCTTCTCTGTCGCATTCCTCTTCCTTCTTCTTCTTCTTCTCTGTCGTGCGATCGTACAATCTCCAATTTTGGGCACGAGTGCCTCTCTTTCTGTCTCTCTCTCCTTCGGTGACCACCCTCCCTTGCTGCTACAACCCCTCACCGACGGAAAGAGTTTCCAGAGATGATGGTAGCGATAAAAAGAGGCTTTGGTGAAGATGGGTGGCTAGTTTAGGGTTAGAGTTTGGAAAATGAAAAAAGTAAGGGTATTTTTGGTATAATAGGATGTGTACTGAATGAAAAATGATAATTCAAATTTATTAGGTGTGTGTGTTAAGAAAAGATGTAGAAAGATAGGAAGTGATGTGTGGAAATAGAAGCTCCCAAAAATCCAACTTATTTTTTAAACACAAAGGGCAAACTAAAGGGCAAACTTCACTTTGCCCCCCTTTAGTTTGGGTCGGGTGTGGTTTACCCCCCTAACATTCAGAAATCACCACATAACCCTCATGTGGTTTATGGGCCAAAGCGTACCGTCAGCTTTTTCATCTAAATTAATGAAATGTAAGGCTCATGCGCCTAGAAGAGAGTAAGTTGATTTTTAAGACTAAATTACCCCTCATTCACCTTCAAATTTACAAAATATACCATTCTTCTTCCTTCTTTCTTTATTGTTTCTCTTTTTATGGTGGGTTGAAGATGAGGTTTGGTGCTAGAACTGAGAATAAAACATTACCTTTTTGGTCCTGAAACACAGGGTTCTACATATACTAGGTCCAACTCGAAATATGATGAGAATACTCTTTTTTGTGGAGGCTTTGAAATAATCCCATTAGCCTCAGATGTAAGAATGCCAAGAAGAAATTCATACATGTAGGAAAATAACAAAAAAAGGAAGAAATTTTGTTTTCTACATCATTATTTTAGCAATAGCAGTCAGAAATTTATATGAGAAATCCATCAACCAAATATAGCACACAACAAAAATAAAGAAACAAAAAGAAAAAGAAAAGACAAACGCACAGTCTCATCACTCCTTCTAGTTAATTTAAGGTACTGTAATGTGACATGATCTATAGGGAAGAACTCTCATCTCCAATTTAAGCTTGTAATCTCTATAACAATGCCACCACAGCGATGGTGTCCCTACCTCTCACCTCCTCTGTCAATCTGAGTTTTCGATCTCTACCCACGTGTAGAACTTGGTCTTCAAATTCGTTGTCGTCATCATCATCATCACCAACTCTCAATCTCAAATCCAACACTCAAAATCAAAGAAACCAGTCAAAATGACACTCACTAATCACAAACCAATATATTGGAACAAGCTTCACATTTATTTGGGTCAAATTCTGGTCAGATTCATAATATATATATATATATATATATATATATATTTGGGTCAAATTCAATCTGATAATATAAATATGTATATATAATGTAATATGTGAAAAGTTGCTTCTTAGAAGTGGCTGCAGGTGCACATTATTTATAAGACCAAGTTGAGCACGGTAAAAGATAAAATACAGAGTAAAAGATAAAGTGCACATTATTTTTTGGATCTGAACCCAGAAATGGAGAGAGTGAGAGAGAGAGAAGAAGAAGAAGAAGAAGATGAAGATGGAGAGAGAAAGAATTAGGTTTCCCCTGAATTAATAGATATATATATATATATATGAGGATATAATTATCAATTTACAACTTCTGTTAACAGAAATTAGTGTGTGTTTTAATCCATTAATCATAGGGGATTATGTGGTGATATTCGAATGTTATGGGGTAAATTGCACCTGGTCCAAACCATAGGGGGGTAAAGTGAAGTTTTTCCAAAACTAAAATAACCTACGAAAATAGCAACTTCTTAACCATCCACACTAGCACCTTTTTGCTTGGTTTGGGGACTTCTTAATTTTTTTGGTTATTTTAGTCTGGTTTAAAAAGTTTTGTTTGGATTGAATTTTTTAGTTTTTTTTTACTTTTATAAAAGAAAAAATAAAATGATTATAGCTTAGACGTGACATTTTGTCTTATTAATTTTTTAGTTTATTTTTTATTTTTGTGATTATTTTAACCTTTTAACCTTCCAATCCAACATACCAAACGAGGGCTCTATTGAGTTGGGATTTGTTTGGATAAAAAATATTTTTATAATATATATATATATGTTTGAGAGTGGTGGTGGTGGAATGAAAGTAGAGGTAGAGGTAGTGGCATGGTAGTGGGGCAGTAATGGTGCTAGTGGCAATAGCAGTGATAGTGGCTGTGTTAATCGTGGTGTGGTGGTGGATGTGAGAGTGGCAAGTTGTGACATTAGTAAAATTTTTAGTTCGGAAAAATGCTTTTCACCTTTTAAAAGTTGAAAATGTTTTATGTCCATATAAGTTTGTTTTTTTGTTGATTATAAAAAATATTTTTCATTAACTTTCGTTTTTTATTATATCAAATACCAGGAAATATGGAAATCATTTTCTAGAAATTATATATTTTCCGTTGACTTTCATTTTTTATTATACCAAACACCAAAAAATATGAAAATCATTTTCCCGAAAATTATTTTTTGCCTAAATAAACATAGTGGAGTACGAAATTAATCTATACTCCTGTTAATATATTTAAAAAATTAAATAGATCAAACATAAGTAATTATACGATCAAATCACATACTATATATTTGTAAGAGGAGCTAATTTAAGCCCACTAAATTATTTAGGCCCAATAGCCCAAGATTAGTAGGCCCGAATTTATCGCAAGTCCAAGAATGGTGGGCTTGGATTTATCGCCGTCAAACGGGCTCATTAATCTAATAACATAACAATTATTATTGGCTCAATTTAATTTTTTTGATAGATAATTTTATTAGTTAGTTGTACAAGATGAACAATTTAAATTACCCAAATAAGTCCAAATTAGTTTGATAATGTGTTAACTTTACTGTAAAGTTTAGATATTCAACCTTAACAAATCGTTACCCCCCTTCTATTAGAAATGTGCAAAATATCAATTAATAGAAGAATCAAACCAACTTGATCTCTTTATTTTAGTTCAGTTCGGTTTTTGAGTACGTCAATTTAATTTCAAATTTTCAAATCATCAATCCAATCAAAAGTTGTGATTCAATGGTTAACAAATTTCCCACCAAGTCAATACATTAACACTTGAGAGGTGATGATATTCTTAACCACATCAAAAGATTTCAAGACAAGACTATCGATTGCCACAGCCTATGGAAGAGTCACATCTTGTCAAATTTGTATTTAAGGTGCAATCAATGATTATAGCTTGGCTAAATCACAACCATGCAATCAATGATTATCCCCATGTTTAATCACAACTATGGAAGAGTCATATCTTGTCTAAATCTGTGTTCAAAATGTAATCAATGATTACAAGATCTTCATGGTTAATCACAACTCCCAAATTTATCTGCATTGATTGAGAACTCCCGAAACCTGAGTACTGCGGGCCTATTTTCCACTTACTGTTAATCATAAGATCCTTATAATTATTTCAAAGTTATAAAAGGGTATCCGTATAATTTATTAAAAAAATTAATAACTAAAGCCTATGAGCCAGTAATGTCTAGCATCACTTTATGGGGTGAATTTGCTAGTTTAAATTATATAAAGGCTTCATTTGGGAAGTTATGGTTTGGATTTTTTTGGCTATTTTAGCCACAAAAAATAAAATAGGTTATTTTAGCCATAACAAACAAAAATCACATCTAACCCATAATCATTACATTCTTCTCTCACAAAAAAACTCAAAAAAGTCAAAAAGTCAAAAAGTCCTTCTCAAACCAAGCTTTTAAGCCCAGATTAAAGTAGCCAAAAAAGTTAAAAAGCCAAAAAACCAACCCGCTTCCCAAACGGAGGCAAAGAGAGTTTTATACCTTCGTGTTATCCCATCTCCCTTTTTCCGCGTTACCCTCCTACTAACATTCAACAAACTAACTCATGCTAATGCATACTGAGTGACAAAATAATAATGATATATAAAGGAAAAAAATATACATAAAATCTTTTATTACTTTAAAATAGAGAATTAATTACATTAATAATATTTAAAATATACATTTTGTTAAATTTGAATTCCCAAATATTTTAATTGTTTGATGCCCAAAATATGCTATTTCTTACACCCGTTTGGCAAGTGATTTTTTTAGTGAAAAAGTCGCTAAAAAAATTAAAAAGCCAACAACCTATATTAAAAAGTCAAAAATTCTCTCTTGTCTTTACTTTTTGCACATCTTTTCGTAAAAAGTGAAAAAGTCATCCCAAACATACTGGGTATGTTTGATTTGAGTTTGGGAGATGAATTTTAGAGATAAAAAGTACGAAAAGTTGTTTGGTTTGATTTTTTTCAAAAGATGTTTTGAAAAATTATTGAGAGAGAGTTTTGAAAAAAGTGATTGATTTGATGTGTATGAGAGATAAATTTGTTTGGAAAACTACTAAACCAAACAAGTTTTGAAAAAATTTGTTTGGTTTGATTACTTTTGAAAACTTATTTGTAGAGAATTTTTCCCAAAATTTTTTGGAAAATACAAACCAAACAAGGCCACTATTTTTTTTAGCTCATAGTTTAGTCAAATAGTCAAAAAATTACTAAATTAACCTGTTCCCAAATTAGGTATTAGTCAGCTATGCAATCATTCAAAATCAATAATAGAATGAAGAATATTTTTAGAATTTTACATGAAATCTTAACAAAACCAAAACAAGGCCTCGTTTGGCAAGAGGCTATTTTAGTCAATTAGCCAAAAAGTTACTAAATTAGTCAAAAAGCCAACAACTCATACCAAAAAGTCAAAGATTCTCTTTTCTCTCTACTTTTTGCACATCTTTTCGTAATTAGCCAAAAAGTCATCACAAACATACAAATTTTTTTTACCTACCTTTTTAGCTAAATAGCCAAAAAGTTACTAAATTAGCCTATTCCCAAACGAGGCCTAAATATACACATGGTCTTAAAGCATTTTAGTTCCTAAAGTATACGTTTTGTTTTATTTTTAGTCTTGAAAATATGCTCTTGTTTGCATTTTTGTCTCCCATCTTCTAATTTTGGTCTCTCTCTGTCTCTCGCGGTAAAAATCTGAAATTACCCCTTCTTTGTTACTAGTTTGAATGGTGCTGACGTTTGGGATTTAAAGTGTAATAGATCATACATTTTTGGGACCAAAATAGAACAATTAATTAGGGGGACTAAGAAGATTATTGGTGAAACTAACCTTAAAATTAAAAGACTC